GCTAAGCTTGTTTTAAATAGGTGCTTCAGACCACTGAGCCATCTCACCAGCCCGCATAGTTTTATTTAATAAACCTGAAATCAGAACAATAAAAAACAAAGCAAACCAAAACCAGAAACAAAAAACACCTGCCCAACACAATGCGAAAGTAATATGGTAATTCCAGCGTTCCTCTGCAGCTGTCTAGGCCACGAGGAATTACCTGGGCGCATGTTTCTTCTGGGGACGCAGCACTGACTCCAAAGAGAACGGGAATGTCCAGCGTATAGACAGCAAATTTTTCCAAAGCGTGAATGACAGCTGGTGCCAAGTGAGAACCCTGCCCAAATCCTGGTTCTCCCACGATTAACATTCTTGGTCGAAAAGACATGGGTTGGTAACAAGTATTTCTGAAAGAATGATTAATAAAGCAGTGTTTTAGAAAAAAAAAAAAAATCAAAAGCTTAAATGTTTTCCCCAACTGACTACAGAGCTAAGTCCTGTCTACATGACCAGCCAACTGCAATTCACATAGTTTATGGTAACAACTGGCGACCACAAATTTTTGCCTTTTTTTCCCCCTGCAGTACTGGAGAGTGAACTCAGGAGCTTGCACTTGCCAGGCAAGCACTTTTTCTACTGAACTATCTCCCCAGCCCTTACCACCAATTTTTTTTTTATCGACCCCTCTCCCAACTTTTTTATTATAAATACTGGTATCAAAACAATCCTGAACATATTTTGGATACTGCTAGTAGTCAGCACCCACACTGCTTCAAAGATTAACACAATATGTGACAATACTCATTGTACCTGCTACTTTAATAGAAAAAGGGGAAAATTTATTGTAACCTAGCATGACAGATGTATCTAAAATTGTACAGTTTTTATTATTTATTTATTTATTTTCTTTTTATTATTTTTCCCCATAATTTTATTGATAAACAAATAGCAATGAGACAGTTTCAAATCAAATTGGTAGGACAGTTTCAATAATTAACACATTGCATACATTCTTCCTAGTGGTTAATTGCTGTACAAGATGTGGACATGATATCCTAACACCATTAGAACAAATCACTCTATTCATTAAGAGAATGTAACTATATATCTATCCCGGGGCCTGGCCTTAGCTCAGTTGTTTAAGTGGCTGCTTCCACAAAGTTGTCAGCCTCAGGTTGCTGCAGTTCGATCCCCACAACACTCCAGTCAGCCAAACCACCCCTGAGGGCATTCGGAGCCAAAAAAAAAAAAAAAAAAACCTTATATATCTATCCCAACCACTTTGAATACACAGATACAAAATGGACATTCATCTGTATCCCCTTTTTTGGTTAAGTTACATTATTTGAATATTACAGGTGTGTAATACCACCAATTTTTAACAGTACTTTTAAATAGTGACAATAAAATATATAAAATATATATTTATAACAAAATATTCCAGATACTTTAAGTAAAAAGCAGACTTGTAACCATCTTTTATTCTATCTCACTTATTTTGGGAAATTTACACAAGATTTGATTGCAAGCAAAGTATACCTATTCAAATGAAGAAAATTAAAATTTTCTTTTGCTTTGCTAAAGGACTTTTGAGAAGGCCCATTTTCATATACTGAAGGAACATCATCATCACTGTATGCCAAGTCGCTTTCTAGAAGAGGAAAAATACCTACGAAAGAGAAAACACTGTTAAACCTTTACACAATGTTTGGTTTAGTTAGCAAATCAGCATATTTCAATGAAACTGTTTAACAAAAAGTATTTGTGCAGTTATCAAGAACACACAAAAATACATTCCAAACTTAAAACAGGTTAATTTGTGAAGTAAATCTCCTTCAAACATCTCAGGAAAAGTATAATCAAAATTTTTTTAACAGGTTCCTCTACAAAGAGACCTTTCTGGGATGTATAAAAACATGAGCTACACTAACTATGAAGGCTAACTTTCAGTGGTCACTCAAGTTTTGTACCTGAGTCTACTGCATCGTTGGCTTCGATTTCTGCATGTGGAAATACTCTCTGCAGTGCATCTAAGATCCTGTGCACAGTGCCCTGCAGGAGCGGCCTCACAATGGCAGACAGGGCCTGGCCAGGGGACGCCACGGCTCTCTGGGAGGCAGGTATCATCTTCTGCATGGCTATTTCAAAATCCTTGGCAGAGATGTTGATTGAAGAGAGATCCAGCTGTAGCTTCTCACTGGTAGTATAGATCTGTGGGTAACGTCGCCGCAGAGCACACAGAGCAGCCTCGGCGCATATCGACTTAATGTCTGCACCACAGTAGCCTGACCAGAGCAAACGGAGAAAAAAATGAACGGGCCAACAAAAGAAAAGCTGAAAACTGCTAATACAGTCATGGCTGAAAAAGTTAAAAATCAACTTACCCACAAAGAGCAAAACATTTATGAGTAACAGAACTAAACCTGAGTATTTATGCAACCAACTTACATGGTGGTAGTGCATCAACGAATCATGAATCAATTCAGTGAGTGAAATATAGTATGTGAGCATTATGTACTACACAGCCTATGGGTTAAGGACAAAGGCTTGGGCTGGGGAGACAGCTCAGTACAGTAAGTGCTTGCCTGGCAAGCACAAGGGCCTGAGTTCAATCCCAGGTTCCGCAAAAAAAAAAAAAAAAAAAAAAAAAAAAAGGACAGTTATTATTATCATCATCATCTATGTCCCTCTCAAATTCCCCCAGCGGCCAGTGTGCCAGGTGTTTGTCTGACACCTACGATTATGAAGATGAAAACAGGGCTGGTGAGATGGCTCAGTGGTCTAAAGCACCTACTTGGAACAAGCTTGGCAAAGCACAGGGACTGGGGTTCAATCCCCCAGCACCACATGCCAGCCAGCCCCACCCCATGGTGGGCTGAGCTGGCCACACACACACACAATAAATAAATAAATGTTAAAAAAAAAAAGAAGATGATGATGATGAAAACACACCATGAGTAAGAAAAGAGACACAAATTAATCTGGGTTTCTTTAAACAGATTACAAGTTGTCCTGATTTTGAAATGAAGGTAATGTATCTTTATCTGCTTAAGACCAGTTTACCAACACAATGTTCTGCTACTTCTTCTAGAAATATGTCCAGTGGCCTGGGATTCCAATCCCGTGTGTGAATCTTCAGAATCTCTTTGCGAGCCTATGAAAAAAACAATTTAATTTTTTAACAACTATAATAATAAAGTGCTCTTCAGTTTAGAATAATTTCAATATAAACCACTAGGACCAAAAATTTTAAGTGAATACTTAATATAAATAGAAATAGTACAAATGAGGAAAAAGATGTATTTGTAAGAGTTCAAGGAAGGCTATACTTTCAGGGATCATTTCTGTATCTTTTTTTTTTTTGGCAGAACCAGGGATTGAACTCAGGCCCTTGCGCTTGCCAGCATAGCGCTTATTCCACTGAGCCATCTCCCTGGCCCCAGGGATCATTTCTATAGTATGTAAGAGTTCAAGGAAAATCAGTTTTGTTAAACAAAAGGGTTTACACTTCCCAGGTTACACTCACCACTTAAGTACATGAAAAGAATAAGTAATTACTGAAATATTGTTCATTCTAGAATACACATATTAACTGTTTTGGGCCAGAGGGGTAGCTCAGCTGACTAAGCACCTGTTTAGGCAAGCACAGGGAAGGGAGTTTGATCCCTGGCACCACATGCCAGGTTCCGCCCCTGGGCACGCTGAGTCTGTGACCGAGTGCAGGCGTGGTGGCACATCCCTATAATCCCAGCTCTGGGGAGGCTGAAAACAGGAGGATCACGACAAGTATGAGCAGCATAGTGAGACCCTGTAGCAAATACATCCAAAAAAAGAAAGAACTGTTCCACTTGGGGAGACAGCTCAGCAGCACTTGTGCCTGCCTGGCATGCACAAGGTTCTGAATCTGATCCCCGAGGAAAGAAAAACAAACAAACAAATCAAGTGTTTTATAAAGTACTGACAACTCTACCATATTTTTTCTTTTTATGTATTTGGTACAGGGTCTCACGACGCAGCTCAGACCCGTAGTGACCCTCCTGTTCTCAGCCTCCCCAGTGTTGGGATCTACAGGCGTGACTCACGCTCAGTCTTCTGGTGGCTCAGCACGCCCAAGGGCAGAGTCCATACAGCATGTGGTGCCAGGGTCCTGGTCCCTGCACTTGCCTAAGCAGGCACTTGGTCTGCTGAGCTAACTTGCTGGCCAATATCCATATTTTCTTACATGGCTATAAAAAGCTTCAAGTGGCTTTAAAATAACTGATTAAAACTATTAGCCTGTAATCCCAGCACTTAGGAGGCTGAGGCAGGAGGATCATTTCAAGTTTGAGACCAGCATGGGCCACAATATGAGCTCAAGGCCATCATGAACTGCACAGTGAGACCTTGTCTCAGACTATCTTATCTATCTCATCTATTTTATCTACCTCAGGAAACAGTCAAGAATAACGAATGGGATAAAGACTGATTACTCCTTAAGTTAATGAAGCAAAACTGACAGTCCAACAAGCATGCTTAAATGGTAAGAATTTTAAGAACAATTTTAGATGGGCATTATTATACATAAAGAAAAGAAAAATTACCCTCACTTGAGTCCCTCTGAGCTATCATGTGATTAGATCTTTTTTTTTTTTTTGGCAGAACCGGGGATTGAACTCGGGTCCTTGAGCTTGCCAGGCAAGTGCTTACTCTACTGAGCCATCTCCGTGGCCCCATATGACTAGATCTTGATACTAAATTCAAGAATCTTTAAATTTTTATCCTACTGAGATTTAATAAGCAATGTATTTTGTCAAAATCTGAGTGATATTATTAAATTCTCACATCTTTATCAGGCAGGCTAAAAAGGAATTCTCTGTCAAAGCGGCCAGGCCTCCGCAGAGCGGGGTCTATGGAATCCAGTCTGTTGGTAGCACCGACGACCACGATTTCTCCTCTGCTGTCCAAACCATCCATAAGAGCGAGCAGAGTGGAAACGATGGAACTAAATTGGAAAGTAAGAAAGGAGATGCATATCATGAACACAGTATGTCACTCAGTAAGTTATCCTTTTGCTAAGATTTACTATATTAAATATATCAAATTTTCTCAATACCTAGTTACTTTGTTTCTTTCTTTCTTTCTTTTTTGAGAAAGGGTCTTGCTATGTAGTTCAGACTGTCCTGAACTATGTAGCCCAGGCTGGCCTGGAACTCACAGCAGTCCTCCTGCCCTGGCCTCCCAAGTGCAGCAACTACAGGCGTGCATCACCACGCCCAGCTGGTTACTTCCAATGGAAAAAAAAACCACAAAAAACCTTGTGAAATGACCTACCAGATAGAACACAGAAATGTTTCTGTTAATTCATAACAGAAGAAAACACAGATGATCTTTAGAGTATAACCCTGGAAATTATTTCATGAAGCATGATTTCACAAAGGAACTTGGGAGTTTCTGGTTAAGGATATAATATTAAAAAAATTCTAGTAGTTCCATGTACAAAGGACAGTTTTAAAACAAAAGTGTACTGTTATATTATTAAACATAAAGCACCAAGTTGAAGCAGAATACACATAAAGCATTACAATGTGGGATTCTTAAATGTGGGGGCTGCACTGGGATGGATGCACAGCCTCATGCCGAGTTGTTCCCCGACCTCTTGAGAGCGCCCGCCCCGCAGAGTTGTCCAGGCTAGGGTCAAACATGCCTGTAATCCCAGTACTCATGAGGGTGATGCAGGATAGTCAGTGTGAGCTACAGAGTGAATTCAAGGTCAGCTATCCAGCAAGACCCTGTCTCTAAAAACCAAACAAACCAAACAAAAATACCTCCAAACTTCATATTATTTAACCTATAAATATTCCATGCCATCACCTCAAAGCAATTAACATTAATTTAATTTAAACAAATTGTCTCAAAACAACCCTTGTTTAACGTGGTTCTAGGGATCAAACTCAGGGCTTTGATCACGCTAGGCAAACACTCTACCACTAAACTATACCTTGAGCCCCTCAAGTCTCATTTTTGTTTGACTTGTCAGTCCAGGATATCCACACAAAGTGGACATTACACTTGGTTATTTGTCCCTCAAATTTTTAAAAATTGCCATTAAAGTCTTCAACTCTATGTTTACCCCTCAGCATGCCATTTATTTGCTGAAAATCTGGGTTGTCTTATAAACTTTCATTTCTACATTCTGGAGAAGGCTGATTACTTGCAACATGGTCACTTAACACATCCTTGTCTCGTATCTCGTGGTAAACTCTAGAAGCCTAACAGATGCAGGTTTACCTACTTGTAGCTGCATATTTCATATAAAGACAGCATTTGGTATCTGTAAATGATTTTAATGATTTTATACTACACAAAAAATACAAAGGCGTAGGGAAACACCAGAAAGGATGTTTGTGATATCAAAACAAGTGAGAGTGACAGGGCACAAGAGAGTCCATTTCCTTTAACTCTATTTGAACTAAAATCACTTAAGTTCACTTACACTGTACACAAATTCATTCCCTCTCACCCCCTCCCCTGTAGCTAACCATAAACACACTGAGAAAATCAAGGCCACAAAAAAGGGAACAAACAGAACAGTTTAGGAAGTAGGGTAAATAGTAAATTAAACTGTAATATCCTCTGACAGCCAGGTGGTCCACTGTGTCTGGAAAATGTAAACCCTGTAACAGCTGTGAGGCATATGTGCAAAATTCCTATACATGTGGTTGTTCTAGTATCTGAGAGGTACAGAACCTAAAAACAAAGTTCAAGCCAGACTGACATCTTGTGAGTCCTAACTTGAGGGTCTAGGAGGTGGGTCACTGGCTGGCTCACAATTAAAGCTTCCTTGTTCCTAAGCTCTTGGTCTCTCTTGGGGGGATGGGGAATTATTTTTGCTTGTTGTCATCTGCTGCTACAAGAGAAAACTTAGGTTCTTGAAAGAGACCTTAGAAGTGGACAGCTAAGGCCAACGAGATAGCTCCGCTGCTTTGGCAAGCAGAAGGTCCAGGGTTCAATCCCCAGTCCCGCATGCTGCCCCTGGTGCGTGCTGATCCAGTAACTGAGTCCAGGAAACTGAGTCTGGGCCTGGTGATGCGCTTGTAATCCCAGCGTTGGGGAGGCTGAAAACTGGAGAATCACTATGAGTCTGAGCTGGGTAGTGAGACCCTGTAATCAAATACATAAATTAAAAAAGAAAAAGAAAAAGGGGCAGCTAGGGTATTTTTCAAATCTAAAATTACAATTTAGAAAATCCCACATTTGAGGGGGCCGAACAGATAGCTCAGTGGACTAAAATGCCTGCTTAGGCAGGCACAGGGACCGGGGTCTGATCCCCGGTGCTGTGCCGGCCCAGCCTCCAGGGTGTGCTGATACAGCTATTGACATTGGACATGGTGGCCCGCACCTGTAATCCCAGTGCTTGGGAGGCTGAAAACAGGAGGATCACTATGAGTCCAATCTGTATAGCGAGAACCTGTACTAAATACATTTTTAAAAAAGAAAGAAAATTCTACATTTGCAGCAGACAATCCTATACACCAGAAAATCTACAAGCAATTTTCCAACATTGTAGTAGCTGCAAAGAATTTTAGTGACAGTTTTGTAGTTCTCTAAGATGAAGACAACCCTATGTTTTCTCCTCCAAATATAGCCAAATTTTTGTCTATTTTAATTTTTTTGTAAAGTCAAGATTTTAGAAATCTGGAAATGGAGGTATTGGAATATGAAAAAAGTTCTATGTGGAAAAACAAATTCTATGACCTGAGCACAACACTTAAGATAGAGAAGACAGGGGTCGGGGAGATGGCTCAGTGGAATAAGCGCTTCCCTGGCAAGCGCAAGGGCCTGAGTTCAATCCCTGGTTTCGTAAGGAAAAAAAAAAAAAAAAAGAGAAGACTGAAAGGATGACAAAAGACATACATGTGCAGTTCGTAGTTCTAAAAATGAACTCCTTAAAGTGTGGAATGTTCCATCAAATAATTTTAAGCCAACGCAAGCACTTGGGATTGCTTTTCTCGCTCTGTTTGGATCTTCTTATGCTTGTGCACAGCTGTTTTCAGCTTTGATTATACCACATTTGACACAAGAAACAGACTAACTGATGACCTGCACAGTTGTTTTTAAAGTAACAAAGTATAAGCCAAGCTTTGCCAAATTATCAGCATGCATACAACCACAAAGATCATATTAGTTGTCTAAAAGCACCTTGAATGTAAACTTTTACACCTTTCAATAAAAAGCTTTAGTCCTACCAATTTGGTTTGAAACTATCTCATTGCTATTTGTTTCTCAATAAAAGTATAGGAAAAAAAAAAAGCAAAAAAATAAAAATAAAGCTTTATTATTGAAAGATCTGTTATTGTGTTTTGTTTTTTTTTCCCGGAACCGGGGAATGAACTCAGGTCCTTGCACTTGGCAAGGAAGCACTTACTCTACTGAGCCACCTCCCCGGCCCTTGTTATTGTGTTTTCAATATGAAAGATGTTAACATCCGAGTTGTCCTTTCTAAACTAACACCTCAAAGGTTCAGGTTTGTGTTGGCACTTGCAATAACCAAGTGGGCTGCAGTCTGGGCACTGTCTCTAAAAGGCTCGCCACCACTGTAATCGGGATACAGCAAGCCCTGACTTATGAACGAATTCCAGGAGAATGTTCCTAATCTCGATTTGTTCCTAAGTCTAATAAACCAAGTCTTATAAAGTGCACCTGTGAACGTTTACAACTTAAGTCTGTAAATTGGAGACTCCCTATACAAGCACAATCATACATATGTGGCACAATTCACAGTACCAAAGTGCTCAGATATGGGACCAACCTACTCCTCCATCATGGATAAAGAAACTCCATTGTATCCATACACAATGGAGTTTCACAGGGATGTAAAGAACAAAATTTGTCATTTTCAAGAAAATGGATGAAATGAGGAATCATTTAAGCTTATATGTCACACACCAAAAGACAAGTATAATGTATTCCTAATATGTGAAACCTAAAAAGGATGACATGGAAAGAGAAATGTAGCTATTAGACGAAAACAAAGGATAAGGGGAAGAAAGCAGAGTTTAAAGGGTAGAGAACAGAATGAAAATGATCAGTATACACTATACATATTAAAATTCAGTATGTTATACAATTAATACAGAATAAAAATATTTTTAAAAAATGAGGTGATGGGGCCAGGGATATTGCTCAGCAGTGCAGTTCCTGCCTGGCAAGCGCAAAATCCTGATTTTGATTCCTGGTTAAAAAAAAAAAAGAGAGAAAATGTGAAGAAAAAGATTTTCCTTATTAGCACTTCTATCTTTGTTTTAGCAGCCAATGATAATTACTGTTCAGAACGAGGTTTCTCAACCTTAGAACTACTTATGTTTTGGGCCACAAAATTATTTGCCATAGCACGTTATCATGTATAGGGTTGGATATTAAGTACCTCTGACCTTCACCTGTTAGATACTAGTAATCAGCCTCTTAATCTAAAATGTTGCCAGGCCAGGAGAGGTGACACACTCTTTTAACTCTCAGACATGGGAGGCTGAGGCAGCATGGTTGTGCATTCAAGGCCAACCTATGTTAAACAGTGAGTTTAAGGCCAGTCTCAACTGCACAGCAAGACCCTGTCTTAAAAACAAGACGAAAAGTCACCAGACATCAGGCATATCTCTGAAAGAAGGGAGTGGGGAATGTGCACAGGGCAGAATTTATCAGTAGTTAAAACTCCAGGGCTAGACCTACTGTTTTGTACCAATCCAAATGTTTCTCAGGTGTGATTTTCCTACACAGAATTAATTTTTTTCATCATCAACTATTGAATTATCCTGAGTTATGCTCTTTATAGGACAGGAAGAAGTGTTTGATTCTTCACATTCATCAGTTTTCACAGCCACAGATCAATAATCCAGAAACCTCTGGGGCAGCCAAAAAGGTTTAAAAAATCATCATTAAATATCAAGAATTTTCTGGACTGGATGCATTTCAGTCCACTGTAACAACCATTTCTGATATCCAGACTGCCCCAGTGAGTGTGAGCACTTCAGATCACTGTAAATGAGCCCATTTGTTTTTGACTGTAGGCCTCACAAGATGTTCCAGGTTTCTCTTGCTCATTTCCAATTCTATGCTGCAATCTGTCATCTCTTGAGTTCTAGTATTTAAAGACCACATTCCAGGGACAAGAGACCTTAATTGCTACTAGACTATAATTGCATTTATTTATTTATTTAATTTATTTATTTTTTTAATTTATTTATTTGTGTGTGTGTGGCCAGCTCAGCCCACCAGGGGGCGGGGCTGGCTGGCATGTGGTGCTGGGGATTGAACCGCAGTCCCTGTGCTTTGCTAAGCTTGTTCTAAGTAGGTGCTTTAGACCACTGAGCCATCTCACCAGCCCCCTTAATTTATTTATTTATGTTGGAGGAACCGGGGATTGAACTCAGGCCCTTGCACTTGCAGGCAAGCACTTATTCTACTGAGCCATCTCCCCAGACCTCTATGATTGTTTTTAGATCATTTTACTTTTCACAATTAATTACATTTTCAAGGGCCAGTGAGATAGCTTTGTACTAAGCACCTGCTTAGGCAAGCACGTGTACCAGGCCCATCCCCTGGACATACTGAGCTGGCCACCAAGACTGGGCATGGTAGTGCATGTCTGTTATCCCTGCACTGGGAAGGCTGAAACCAGGAGGATTACTATGAGTCCAATGTGCATAGTGAGGCCCTGTACCAAATACATAAAAATAATTTTCCTTATTAAAAAAATTAATCTGCAGCTCATATTATTTCCAATTCAGAGTAAATATTTTAGGGTTTTCACTTAATTTTATATTTGCATCTTTCTCTTCTTAGATGTAAAATCTAATTTCCCATTACTATACGACAGTATTTATTATGAATAGCAAAGTACAGTAAAATCGTAGAGCAGACAGAACATAATTTAATCATTTTTAATACACTAAAGTCTTAAAAAAAATATTAGATTTTAAGTTTGTGGCAAAAAACCAAACCAAAGGGCGGGGAAATAGCTCAGTAGAATAAGCACTTGCCTGGCAAGCGCAGGGTCCTGAGTTCAATCCCCAGTACTGAAAAAACCAAAGACAAAAAAAAAACCCCACCCCCCCCAAAACGAAACCAAAACAACGGCTGGCAAGATAGCTCAGCAGACTAAAGCACCTGCTCAGGCAAGCTTAGGCAAGCTCAGGGAGTGCACTTCAATTTCTGGCACCATATGCCATGCCAGCCCCATCCCCAGGGTGGGCTGAGCTGGCCAGGGAGTTTGGGTACAGCGGCACATGCCTGTAATCCCAGCACTGGGGAGGCTGAAAGCAGGAGGCTCATCACCTGTCTGATCTACATAGTGAAACCCTGCAACAACCAAATACATCATAACAAAAGAAATCCTTACTAAATCTGCCTTAAATATGTATATATTTGAAGTATACTTCTGCTTGGTAAAACTGTAACTTCCTCTAAAATTCCTACAATTAAAAAAAGAACAATCCCAAATAAAGTTAAGTATTGTACTTAATTCACCTGACTACAGAATGAGGACAGTTATTGCTAAATGTTTTCTCTATGAATACAATGAATTCTACTTTTAGTGTAATGTAAATGTGATGCTATACAATAACGAGTGGTTGATATGTGTCATATGTAAGTTTGTGATCATTAACATATACAGACAAAAGTATTTATTATGGTACTTTTATTTTATTTATTTATTTGTTTGTGTGTGTGTGTGTGTGTGTGTCCAGCTCAGCCCACCAGGGGGCGGGGCTGGCTGGCATGTGGTGCTGGGGATTGAACCGCGGTCCCTGTGCTTAGCTTGTTCTAAGTAGGTGCTTTAGACCACTGAGCCATCTCACCAGCCCAAGTACTTTTTTTTTTGCAGTACTGGGGATTGAACTCAGGACCCTGCACTTGCCAGGCAAGCACTTATTCTACTGAGCTATCTCCCCGGCCCCCTTACCATGGTACTTGATATTTCAATTTATTCAATAAATGAAGTCATCTTTCATCAAGTAAATGAGATTATTTTGTTTTCTTTTGTTTTGTTTTTTTGGCAGAACCAGGGATTAAACTCAGACCCTTGCGCTTGCCAGGGAAGTGCTTATTCTACTGAGCCATCTCCCTGGCCCAAGTAAATGAGATTATTGTAGTAAATATTGTTTAATATCAGACAAGTCAAAACCCACCCTATCATATTACTGCTTATTTATCTACTTTACATATCAAATAAAATTGCCACATATGAAAGTACACAAACGTGCTTGAGGGTCAAATAATTCATGAGACTATTTAAAAAGCTCTGAAAAGTTAAAAGCCAAATTGGAACAAGTAATTTAGATTCAAGATGAGACAGCGAGGACTGCGGAGATAGTTCACCAGCATAAGCACCTGCCTGGCAAGTGCAAGATCCTGAGTTTAAACCCTGGTTTAAAAAAAAAAAGATGGAAAGTAGTTGTAGAAAATGTTTTCTCTTGAATGGGTACTTATCATGGGGAAAAAGACAGTTTCCTCATCTTTATATGCAGAAGCTAAACCAGGAGCAGTGATACATGCTTGTAAAACTGTCTATTAGGGAGGCTAGGGTATGAGAACTACAGGTTAATTAATGCCTGGCAACTTAACCCCCCGTCTTTTTCTTTTCTTCTTCTTCTTCTTTTTTTTTTTTTGAGGTACCAGGGATCAAACTCAGGCCCTTGCACTTGCCAGAAGGCACTTAGGCTGCTGAGTTATATACCTGGTCCTCGCCTGGCAACTTAGCAAGGCCCTATGTCCAAAAAAAAAAAGGCCAGGGATATAGATCAGTGGTAGAGCAATCAACGTAGAAGGTAAGGCCCTTGGTTCCAGCTCCATGGGTGGGTATGGGTGGCACTAATGTTAGAATTTTGAACATGTAATATTGTCCTAACATTTTGATTGATCCAGGCAAGATCTTCAAAATATATTAAACTAGTTGGCAGCATTTAAGGTGTTTAAAATTCTGAATGTAACATTTGGGCACAAAGATCTGTTGCTCAAGTCTTGGTTTCTGCACACAATAGGATGGGGCATCAATGACAACTGCTGGTGAAGTGCGTGTGCAAGGACGTTCAGCCCCATAGCCCACCAAACCCTCTACTAACCACGGGCCACCTCACTTGCCCCATGGCCTGTGAACATTTCTTTGTATCTTGAGTTAAAATTGTCTATAACCAAGACTTTAAAGCTTATTTAGAATATACTAACTTAAAATATTCACCTTTTTTTGTACTATGTATTAGGGTTCTGGTACCAAAAAGGGTGTGTTACTTGTACACTTTCTTTCACAATGGAACATTCTCTCACATAACACTGACGCTGTTCAAATATAGGAAAAAGGTACAAGTGTCACCAAGAAAGCATTACCTGTGGATCTGATCTTGCCTGCTTGACCGCACTGGAGCCAGACCATCGATCTCATCAAAGAAAATAATTGATGGGCGCATCTGATAGGCCTAAAGGCAGGGCCAGTGTCATTCACATGTTATCATAAAAAGCCTTGAATCTGAATTCAGTATTACCTATTTTTAAACTTGCTCCAGAATGTGATTTATAAATATGAACATACACTAGTTAAGACTATTCAAAACTGCTTACAATTGATTTGTAAATTTAAAATACTTACAACTGTTTTAAGAACCTAGACAAAGCTATAACATATAGGTTAGTTTTATTTGCATTTTCAACAGGAAGCATTCAAACACAAACACATATACAAAAATCTACTAAAAGTCAGGTGTGGTGGCACACCCTGTAACACCAGCACTCTGGAGGCTGACACAGGAGGATTGCTGTGAGTTTGAGGCCAGCCTGGGCTACATAAGTAGTACCCCATACTACATAGTGAAACCCTGTCTCAAATTAAAACAAACAAACAAACCAACCACAAAGACCTACTAAAAACTGTGAAGAGAAAGAAGAGTGAATACAGCCCTCTTTCTATGTATTTCAATCAAGATAAAGAACAGAACTTAAGAGAATTCCAAAGATTTAGAAAGCTTTTACACAGTATGTCTCAGGAGAGTAAAATGTATTATCTCACAATGTGTGGTCAACACAAAGCCCTGTAGGGTAGACCGGTCTTTGACTCCCCAGTGGAGACATAATTGTCCCTTTAAGTACAAGACTACCACCTCTCACTAGGTATGAGACCTAAGACTCAAAGAATATAAAACTGTGAATTAAAAGTCAGGATAATTTTGACATATAAAACAAAATATTCTAAAAGATGTTTTGGTATAATTCTTCAGCTAATTTCTATAGAAAGCAACTCAATTAGTATCTACAGGGATTAGAGATCAATATGAACTGTAACATTATACCTGATCAAACAGCAATCGAAGCTGTCTTTCAGACTCCCCTACCCATTTGCTCAGACAGTCAGCACCTTTCCTCATGAAAAACGCCACTCTTCTATTCCCTTGACTGCACTCGTTGGCAAGGGCTCTAGCAACCAGAGTCTTCCCAGTTCCAGGTGGACCATAAAACAAACAACCTCTGTTAAGATAATGTTAAACAGATTAGCATTACATTGAAAGACTACTGAAACAAATACCAGAAACCAGTTTCATCAATTTGCTGAGTTAAAAGGTGTAAGGCAATTGAAAAATAGTTATACAATTTGATTTCGATAGGAAGTATATATTGTAAGGAGGGAAAAATAACAGAAAATTCAGGGAGCTTGTCTAAGTTTGTGAAAATTAGGCACTTCCAATATTTCTTTTTTAATTTTTAATTTTATTGAGAAATAAATATGAATGAAACAGCTTCACAGTTGATTAATAGGATAGTTTTGATAATCATTACACTGTACATTGTTATCTTCTTAGTGGTTATCCATAGTACAAGAAGCAGACAGGATATTCTGTCCAAACACTGTGAGTACACCTCTTTCTCATTGAATTAAGCAAAAGTAGCTGTAAATTTTTCCTATTTTGTATATATAAATACAAAATGATTTTTCCTTTGTATCCTTTTTTGTTTATCTTATTTATCTATTTATTTACTTTTGTCCTGTAAGAGGTGAATATTCTGTTGGTATCTAAATACTATAGGTGTTTGAATTCAATTAAACAATGTAACACTGTTTAGCAGTCTACGATATTAGTGGGTTATCCTCAGATATTTCTGCTATTAATCTTTTAATTTCTTAAATTATATTTACTTCAAAATTTATCAGTGTTTAGCTGTGATTGATTACTTTTCTAAGGAAAAGAAAAAGCTTACTTTTTTTTTTTTTTTGGTGGTACCGGGGATTGAACTCAGGACCCTGCGCTTGCCAGGCAAGTGCTTATTCTGCTGAGCTATCTCCCCAGCCCAAAAAGCTTGATAACTTAAAACCAATGTGTCCGAAGTAGGTGTCAAAGAGAAAAGCAATATAAGGAAAAAGATTCAAGAACTAGTATTTATTTATTTATTTATTTATTTGGGCAGAACCGGGGATTGAACTCAGGCCCTTGCACTTGCCAGGCAAGTGCTTATTCTACTGAGCCATCCCCCCAGCCCCAAGAACTAGATTTAAAAAAGGGTTAATCAGGGTGGGCGAGTAATAGAATAAGCACTTGCCTGGCAAGCACAGGGTCCTGAGTTCAATCTCCGGTACCGCAAAATAAAAACAAAACAAAACAAAACTTAAAAATGGGTTAATCAGTAAAGGTATATGAATAGCATAGCACACACTATGGCTAAAATGGAATGTATAATTAAATTACCTTGGGGGTTGGATTTTGAATTTTTCAAAGACTTCTGGATAAAGTAATGGAAATACCACCATTTCTTTTAGAGCTGCAATGTGATTGGACAGGCCACCAATACTATCAAATCGTACCTGGTAATGGAAGAGAATATTAACTATGGTACATTAAAAAGTTTGTTTCTTTTGAGACATGGTCTTGCTACATAGTTCAGGCTGGCCTTGAACTCAAGGTAATCTTCCTGCCTCAGCCTTCTGAGTGCTGGGACTACAGATGTACATAACCATGCCTAGTCCAACAATATCACATTTTGAAAAAAAATAAAACGTTACTCTATCTCTAAACTATACCAATCCATTCATTGATAAATCTCTTAGTTATGTCAAAGATTCAAAAATAAAAAGCAAAAACGCCTGTAATCCCAGCACTGGAGGCTGAGGGAGGAGGAGTGCAGTGAGTTCAAGGAAAGTTTAAGCTACGTATTTCAAAGCTACCCTGGAGCCGGCCAGATAGCTCAGCAGGCTGAAGTGCCTGCTTAGGCAGACGCAGGGGCCGGGGTTTCGAACGCTGGCTGCCATGCCAGCCCTGTCCTTGGGCCATGCTGTAACGCTGATTGAGACTAGGTGTGGTGGCACAAGCCTATAATCCCAGCACTTGGGAGGATGAAAACAAGAGAATCACTACAAGTCTGATCTGTGCAGTGAGACCCTGTAGACCCTATACTAAATACATTAAAAAAACCAAAACTGACCTGAACGACACAGCAAGACTGTGCTAAAAAAACAAACAAAAAAGTATATAAATATTAAAGTTTTTGCTAAGAAAAAAAAAATCCCCACCCGCCTTATTATTGGGGATTGAACATAGAGCCTTTGAACTAAACTACTCCCCCCGCTGTTTACAATTTTTACTTTGAAATTTTGAGGCAGGGTCTCACTGAGTCATTGAGGCTGGACTTCAATCTGTAAGTCTCCTATCTCACCCTCCCAGTGCTGGGATCATAGATGTGATCCAACACACCCAGCTCACTGATTTCAAATAAATAAAAGTGCAATAAAGAACATAATAGTTTAAGTGTATATTTCAAAATAACACTCACTGAAGAATCCAGCTGCATTGGATCAACGTCAGCAAGGCTTGCTCCAATTTTCATTCGATCTTTGTAGATTCCTCTTAACTCATCTTTCCGAAAATTTAATGGGAGGCACCTATAATATATAAATATCTTAAATAACACACTCATCAAATCACCCTCCTCCCCAAATTCCATGTTAGAAGTGATCATTTTCTAATAATCAAATGAAAGTATCTGGTCATCAAGATACCATAAGTACATAAAGTAATTCACGGTAGGGAATTAACACAGTAAATGTAACTGCTGTGTCTAACAGAGTGATTATCATAAATTTTTTGCCAGGCACTCCTTTAGTTTTATTTTATTTTATTTATTTATTAATTTTATTTGTGTGTGTGTGTGTGTGGCCAGCTCAGCCCACCAGGGGGTGGGGCTGGCTGGAATGTGGTGCTGGGGGATTGAACCGCAGTCCCTGTGCTTTGCTAAGCTTGTTTTAAGTAAGTGCTTTAGACCACTGAGCCATCTCACCAGCCCACTCCTTTAGTTTTAGGTGCTTTACCCCCGCACCCTTTTTTTGTGGAACCAGGAACTGAACTCAGGCCCTTGTGCTTGCCAGGGAAGCGCTTATTCTACTGAGCCATCTCCCTGGCCCGCTTTACACATATTAAGTCATTTGTCCTCATAGGAGTCTTCTGATGTAGTTTTTCTCATCGTGGAGAAGAGCTGAGGCATACAAAGGGTAGGGAATTTGCCCAACATCACCCAACTAGGAAGAGGATAGGAATCCAGTGCAAGCAGTCTGTCTCCAGGTCTGAACAATTCTCTCCATTTAACTACCTCTCAGCAAAACAGTCAAAGTTCACCGGCCAACCCTCTCAACCAACAATGTATTTCCAGTTTTCTAGAATAGCGGCTCATTCTATAGGCTGAAGACTATGTTACAGGATTACAAGGAATGCCTATGCAAAGAATGACTGTTGCAACTGAACGCAAGCACAGGCACACCATGCTTGCCTCAAGTGGTAACTCATGCTATCCTCAATCACGAGAAACTTGTTTATTTTATTTTTAGTTGATCACTGTATGTTCACAGGCTACAGTGTGATGTTTCAATACATGTGTAAGTGGAGATTAAATCAGGGCATCCAGGAAATCCATCACCTAGTACATTTATCACTTCTTTGTAGTGGAATGTTCAAATTCCTCCTTCATGAGGGCTGAGGAGATAGCTCAGTAGAATAAGCATTTGCCAGGCAAGCACAGGGTCCTGAGTTTAATCCCTGGTACTGGGGGGAGGGGAGAGAAAACTCCTCTTTCCTTAGCTATCCTGAAATACCCAATACTGCTAAATGTAGTTTGCCACCCTGTAAGGCAGCAACACCATGAGGAAGTTATGCTATGGAATGTCAGATGCACAAATTTTCAATTATTGCTTCTTAAGATACTTAACTCTTGGGGCTGGTGAGATAGCTCAGTGGTTTGAAGTGCCTGCTTAGGCAAGCTTAGGCAGGCTCAGGAGACTGTGGTTCGATTCCTGGCACCAAATGCCAAGCCAGCCCCACCCTCAGGGCAGGCTGAGCCGCCAAAAAAAAAAAGAAAAAAGATACTTAACTCTTGAAAAACATTTAGTATATCACCATTCTAGCCCAACAATATCACATTTTGAAAAAAATTAAAATGCTACTCTATCTTTAAACTATGCCAACACATTCACAGATAAGTCTCTTAGTTTTCTTTGTTCAAATTTCCATGAATAAAGAACAAAAAAAAACCCCAAGTCTAATCATAGAGCTTTGGGCTGGCCAAATAGCTTAGCAGATTAAAGTACCTACAAGCAGGCACAGGAGCCAGGGTTTGATCCCCAGGCCTGCCATGCCAGTACTGCCCCTGGGGCACGCTGAGACAGCAACTGAGATTGGGTGTGGTGGCGCGCAACTGTAATCCCAGCTCTTGGGAGGCTGTAAACAGGTGGATCACTACGAGTCCCATCAGTAGTGAAACTCTGAACACCCTGTAGACCCTTCCCTAAAAATACAATAAATAAACTATAGAGCTTTTAGATGATTTAATTCATTGTAGTCCAATGGACACAAAAAGTAAACCACAAATGTAATTTCACGTTTTCTATTGGTCCTGCTGAACAAAAGAAAACAATCAAAAATTTAATATTTTATGTATCCTAATACATGAAAGATATCGCTTCTTATAGTTAGGGTCTGCAAGGGAAACAATACAGTACATATAATTTATAGGAGTGTATTATAATAGTCATCTAGCAAGTCTTATACAAAAGAATCCAGGAAATCTGTCCACACATTAGCAGCCCAAAGAATCCAGTTGAGGGCCTTGGATCTCCCAGCAATGTCCGGCGTGAGTTCAGCTAGCAGCCTAGTGCCTACCACCCTGCCTCATGCAAGTCTGTATCAAGAATCTCCAGACTTGGGAAGGCCCAAAGGTCAGTAGGGGAAGAATCTGTGCCCAACAGACTGAGGAATCTGCACTAATGCCAGAAAGGGACCCTCAAGGTAAAGACCAGAGCTCCTTTGAAAAGTACCATAGCCATCCGCAGTGACAGCGAGGACCTGTGTTCCTCTGACAATGAGAACAGCAGAGTTCATATGAGGAAGCCAGCCAGGCTTTATGCAGCCAGCAACAATCCTGAGGCGGGCCTTCCATATCCAGCGCCACACTGATTCAGTTCAGCTGGGTGTTACAAGCTGATCACAAGTTGTCAATCTATGACAATCCACTCCCAGTCATAACCAGACAGATTTCCTGACCTATACGCTAACGGCACATTTGTGAAAAATTAACATGTCTTGGTCTATTCAAATTTATATTAATAAAATGATTACATATAAACAATTCATTCCACTCATTCTTGTACCAAAGGCAAAATATTTAATGTGTAATCAAAATTAATAAGGTTAAAACAATCATTTGACTGATTATACTGATTACAAACATAACCTAAAAATGACATTAAAATCATATTAAAAGAATCATTACAGGGCTGGAGAGATGGCTCAGTGGTCTAAAGCACCTACTTAGGACAAGCTTAGCAAAGCACAGGGACCGCGGTTCAATCCCCCAGCACCACACGCCAGCCAGCCCCCGCCCCCTGGTGGGCTGAGCTGAGCTGGCCACACACACACACACACACACACACACACACACACACACACAAATAAAAATAAATAAATAAATAAAACTATGCATACTTGCTTGATCATTAAAGAATATAGTGTTAAACCTCAGATCTACCATTTAATAGCTGAGTGGCCTTAGGAAAGTTTGTATCTCAGCCTTGTTTTCCTTATTTGCCAAATTGAGGTAATAATACAGGTATTGTGAGAATATAATTTTTTAAAACACGTAATAGGGGCTGGTGAGATGGCTCAGTGGTCTAAAGCACCTACTTAGGACAAGCTTAGCAAAGCACAAAGGGACCGCGGTTCAATCCCCCAGCACCACATGCCAGCCAGCCCTGCCCCCAGGTGGGCTGAGCTGGCCACACACACAAAAATAAATAAATAAATAAATTTTTTTAAAAAAGAAGAATCATTACAAACACAGTCCTTACTTCCTGATAACTTTTTTTTTTTTTTTTTGTGGAACCAAGGATTGAACTCAGGCCCTTGGGCTTGCCAGGTAAGCACTTATTCTCCCGACTTCCTGATAACTTTTCCAAAGGGACTTTTTTTGGTCTTATTTTCTTTTGGTACCAGGAATCGAACTCGGGGCCTCGCACTTGACTAGGCAGGTGCTGCGCCACCGAGCCACATCCCCGGCCCTCCTGATAACTTTTAACAAGGCATGGCAAGACTAAAAAAGAAATCTCCTGGATTTCAAATATACTCTTTATCTTCAGGTGAAAAGCTTCAGTTCATTTTTCATTGTCATGTTCTTAACAACCAACGTTCTCCTTTATTTCATCCTTGCAATCCAAACCTCCACTAGAGCTTCCCTTCTGGCAAAATGCTTCAAATCACTCTGCTGGCTCTCTGCTCTTTTTTTTTTTTTTTTTTTTGGTACTAGGGATTGAACTCAGGACCCTGTGCATGCCAGGCAAGCACTTATTCTACTGAGCTATCTCCCTGGGCCCTGGCTCTTTGCTCTTAACTTCTTCTTCTTCTTTTTTTTTTAAATTTTATTTATTTATTTTGTGTGTGTGGCCAGCCCAGCCCACCAGGGGGCGGGGCGGGCTGGCATGTGGTGCTGGGGGATTGAACTGCGGTCCCTGAGCTTTGCTGAGCTTGTTCTAAGTAGGTGCTTTAGACCACTGAGCCATCTCACCAGCCCTTAACTTCAAACAGATCTGGCCAAAAGTGCTCAAGAGTATGCCACCACACCAAGAGTAGACTGAACTGAAATTTTCATGCCAGATTAATTAGTCCTTCACCCTTAATATTAGTCATAACAAAAATCTGTGGAGATGAGCAAAAGGCACTTCAACTCCATAAATACAGGACTGCTGCCCACAGTCAGCAATTACCCAGCTCAGAGGCCCTCACTCCTCAGAGGTCACTTTGTATTTCTTTCTTCTCTCAATAAACTTCACTCTTGTTTTGCACTGTCTCCTGTCTCTTTCTCCATTGGAGACAGGCCAGGAAAACCTGAGGGTGGGCTGGAGCCCCAGTCTCACCCAGGGACACAACAAAATGAGAGTAACTCCAGACCAGTTTCATATAATTACTGTAAAAAATCAAATGAGGTGATTAGTATATATGGACTCATACAAGGAGTTATGAAAATAATAAATCCAGAATCCATTGTATGTGGAAGACTTATCTCAAGTGAAAAAATATTTCAAGTCAGTGTTACAAAGTACACTGTGGGCTACGTAATGGTCTGGCAAGGAATCACCACCACCTGCTCTACGGTACAGCTTCAATTGCGGATGTCTCCCACAGCACATTTACTGTTTTATACTTTAGCCTGCGTACAACTTCTTTATTAGCCAACCTGTTCCTACTTCCAAACTGTTCTATTTTCTTAACACTTTTAAAAAACATAGTTGGTAGTTTATTTATAAAGCCAGTATGGCACTCACCTATTGATAGCTCTATTACGGCCCCTTTTTCTGCGCCTCTCAAAGTGTTCCTCTTCAGAGGATGAAGAAGATGTAGAATCACTACTATGGATTGCGTGCCTTCGTCTAAGAGAGGGCAAGAAGAAAATGAGAAACGCCTACTGAAAAATAAGAAGGTGTTGGGGATATAGTGGTAAGATCCTAGGTTCATCCCCAGTACAGAAACAAGGGACAGTGTGTGTGGCGAGGAGATTATTACGGTCTTTGGAATTATAATTCGAAATGCAACTAACTCTGAAAAGATGAGATCAGGCCCTACTGTTGGATTCCTAGCACTAGCAAAAAATAAAAATGCAGCAAAGTAGTAGGAAAAAAGATGTCTTTTTATGTATAGTATAACATCAACCATATACTCCCAACTTTATCACTTAACAACTTTGTAAATATGGCTAAGTTTTATCTCTACAGTAGTTTTCTTACAATAAAAGATAAAAATACCAAACTCGGGTTGCCTGGTAATAGCAAAAAAAAAAAAAAAAAAGTAAATTGCTGCAAATTCTCACACACAAAAAATCATCATCACCTGTAGCTGCTTAACATATTATCTCAATTTTAACTGCAATTGTGAACAAGTGCATTGTTAGTGGGATGACCTTACAGCCAGGGCCAACATGGCTCATCAGTTAACTCAAACACCATCATTATTACTGATGGTGTCAGAATTCAAACCTGTATCAGTATGTCCCCAAATTTCATAGTGAATACATTACTATACAGGTGATTTCAGTTATTTCACAAGTCAATGAAGTTATAAGCAAACAATAACAAAACCTTGTAGACCAACTTAAGATTTTCAATGTTTGACTTTAGTTGAAATTTTAAATAACAAAATATACTTATGCCAGATACTATTTTAGATGAGTTACCTAATTATCACATACTATGAAACATGTTATTGTTTCTGTTATGCAGATTTTTAAGAAGCAAATAAAAACAGAGGCTAAGTAACTTGCCAAAGGCCCCAAAGGCAGGCAGGCTTGGCTCTCAACCTAGACAGTCTTAGTCATGGGTTTAGGCTCTTGGTTATTATTCTACACAGCAAAAACCACATCATTTCAGGTATAATTTTCAACGCACACATCCACATCTGCTCATGTCCCCATCATTTTCCTAAAATCAACACAAAACCTGGCATCAGCTGGTGCAGGGAGACACACATAAGTAGCCTTGGGAGGCTGAGGCATGAGAATTAAGCTCGAACCCAGGCTGACCAACACAGAAAACCTTTCATTACTGAGAATGAGAAATTATCATGGATTTACCTCCTGAGACTTAACTATGTAACTCAAAATCTAACTTGGAAAAAAATGCCCAAAGTGCTATATGAAAAAAAAAAAAAAAGACTAAACCTGTACTCTAAGGATTAAATAAAACAATCTATCAAAAATGCTTAACAGAGAGCCAGGAATACAGTACACAGTCAGTGGCAGCGCTATTATTCAAGTATGGGACAATGAAACACACCACCTTACCAAGGTAGTTACTAACGCTTCCTACCTATGGGGACAAAAGCCAAAACTAGTTGCCAGTACAAACGAGAACATTAACAGCACAGAGAGGTTTTCCCTCACCTAAGCAACTCTAGAACTCCATCCTAATGTACTCAGTCAAGAGATTCTAGAATCCTGCTCTAGCAGAGGCACACTGTTAACAGAAAACGATCACTACTTCAGAACCGAACCTGTTCATTCGTTTACAGTAAGGGCTTCTTGGTCCCACAGAAGACAATCGGTATCTTGGTCTTGCAGGAGAAGCTGGGCCTCGATAAAATATGTTGGGTTTTCTCTGGTGGCGAGGTTCTATGAAAAAACACATGGAGCACAGAAATATATCATTTTTTCTTTATCTGAGTTTCTACAACGCTGCTACCTTTTGTAGAAGAACAAATTATGCTCGCAGACCAAGGTTTTACTGAATCATAAACATTTACAGTAACTTGTTCTGTGTTCCCCAAGATGAGCAAGTATTTCTAATAAATTTCAACTTGTTTAACAAGCAGTGTTACAAGCAGTATGTGACACTGAACACCACAAGTTCAGAACTAAGTCAATGATTCTTTCTTGCTGCAGGGTTGTGGGTGACCGTCTCCAACACCAATGAGATGGAGATTTCACTTGCAGACAAGAAGAAAAAGGATGCAAAAAAAAAAAAAAAAAAAGAAGAAAAAGGGGCCAGGGAGATGTGGAGTAAGTGGAGTAAGTGCTTCCCTGGCAAGCGCAAGGGCGAGTTCAATCCCGTTCCACAAAAAAAAAAAAAAAAAAAAAAAAAAAGAAAAGAAAAAGGAAGGACCCCTCACTTCAAATGTGATTAGGGTGATGTGTGAAAAGTGGGGAACACTGCACATTGTAGAAAAATCATGCTGGGCGTGGTGGCACATGCCTGAGGTAGGAGGACTGCTGTGAGTTTGAGACCAGCCTGGGCTACATACACAGCACGTTCAAGGACAGCCTGAAATGCCTAGCAAGCCCCTACCTCAGAAAACAAAAGCAAAGTAAAGCACCACCCAAATAAGGCTGTAGCAGTACAAGCAGGAAATCCTCAAAATGTTAAAACCAAGTGTCATGGATGAGGCTCCTTGTTAAAGTTGGAAGGCAAGAAAGAGTCCATGGAGCTGTAAACAGCAGTGATTCTACTGGTGACAGCAAAAGTCCTCGTACACAGTAACCCTCTTTTCTCATCTTCTTCACACCAACCAAAGGTTTTGAAAGGTAAGTGCAGGTTAATTTGTTTCTTGTTTTTTATGCTTTCTACTTTATTATTTTGCACTGTCTTACAGTACAGTAGTCCCTTGCTATTTTGTGGTTCGACTTTCACAGAATCAGTTTTGTGGATTTTCAAAAACTGTTAATCTAAATGACACAATTTTTTGTTCATCATGGGATTTTGCAGTACCATACAGTATATGTATATTGTTAAAATTACACAGGCTTATGAGTTTAAAAAATGATTAAGAACATTAGAAGTGTGGAAAAAAAAAACTTTCAAAATTTGAAAGAAAAAAAAACATTAGAAGTGTGGGAAAGGTTTGTAAGAGCGTGGGAAGGGTTTATAAAGCCTTAAATTATGCACAAATACTAAAATATATATAACTTGCTTATTGCAGGAGAGTCTGGAACATGACCTCCACAATGAGGGACCACTACACTACCATTTTTAAATGAATATTTTTGGGTTATGGAATGAAGCATCTGAGTTCTCGTCATTTCTTATAGAAAAATTCACTTTGATATACTTTTAGATTACATGCATGTTTCTAGAACAAATCATGCTCGCAAACCAAAGTCACACTGTACTACAAACATGTAATGCATATTGTACTACATGTGATCTAAAAGGTTGCTATTAAAAATGTGTTAAAAAAAAGGGGGGGGCCTCAGTGGAATAAGCACTTCCCTGGCAAGCACAAGGGCCTGAGTTCAATCTCCGGTTCTGCAAAAAAAAAAAAAAAAAAAAAAAAAAAAAAAAAAAAAAAAAAAAAGGAAAGAAAGAAAATAAATATATACAGCAGGCATCAACTGACCAAAAATCGATGGCCACAAACAACCACAAATGTGTGGACGCATAGCACACTGTCAGCCGTGAATGCAAATGTGCACAAGGGTCGAGGTACAACATTAGCAGAAATCAGCAGCAGTCTTACTTATATAAACTGATGAAGGGCTGGTGAGATGGCTCAGTGTTCTAAAGCACCTGCTTAGAACAAGCTTAGCAAAGCCCAGGGACCACGGTTCAATCCCCCAGCACCACATGCCAGCCAGCCCCGCCCCCTGGTGGGCTGAGCTGGCCACACACACACACACACACACACACACAAATAAATAAATTAAAAAAAATAATAAATTGATGAAGCAAGAAAGCTATGCAATCTAAAAGGACCCGTGAAATTTCGAAACAGCTCAATTATTTGCTTTGCTCGAGGCCAATATCAACTCCTCTTTGGAACAATGGTGTTTCGCAAATTTAAAATAGGTCAAGACAGTAATCATGAGTATGCTGCAAAATGTAAGCATGAGAAAGAAAAACAAAAGCAGGCCAAGGGTGGTGGTGCATGACTTGTCACCCCCGCACTCTGGAGGCTGACGAGGACTGCTGTAAGTTGAGGACAGCCTGCGCTGCAAAGTGCGTTCAAGGCTGGCCTGATCTGCACTGTGAGACTCTGTCTCAAAAAATGAACAACAAAGGCTGACCAGTAGAAATAAAGGTAATATAAATATCGTCTATAAAAAACATATGGGGCTGGTGAGATGGCTCAGTGGTCTAAAGTACCAACTTAGAACAAGCTAAGCTAAGCAAAATACAGGGACCATGGTTCAATCCCCAGCACCACATGCCAGCCAGCCCTGCCCCGCCCCCTGGTGGGCCGAGCTGGCCACACACACACACACAAAATAAATAAATAAATAAATAAATAAATAAATATTAAAAACAACAACAACAACAACAACAAAAATATATGTTCTTCCACTAACTTTCCAATGGAGCCTGGTAGTAAACTGTTGCTTTTCTTTGTCTAAGATAATAGCGTTTCTGGTTCTCTTCTTCTCCATCCTCATCCTCATCCTCCTCATCCTCATCGTCTTCTTCCCCATCACCATCACCATCTTCCCCATCATCTTCCTCTTCATGATCATCCTCCTCATCCTCTTCACCATCCTCTTCCTCTTCTTGGGGTTCACCCTCTTCAGATGATTCTACAATTAAGCAACATGTCCAGAAGGACAGTCACCAACACAGTCACCAAGTTTTATCTCAAAACAAGAAATTCCCATTGATTTGGGCTAATTAGTATTGCAATCAGGGAAAACAGAGGCAAGCCATCTTAGCACCTTTTTTTTGTGGCCAGCTCAGTCCACCTTGTGGGAACAGCTGGTGCAGCATGTGGTACCAGCTATCGAGCTGCAGCCCCTGCGCGCTTGCCTAAGCAGGTGCTTCAGACCACTGAGCTATCTTGCCGGCCCCCAGACCATCTTGAAAATGTATTCTCTGTTAATTCTTTTTTTTTTCCCCATAATTTTATTGATAAACAGCAACGAGACAGTTTCAAATCAAATCGCTATCTCTGTTAATTCTTAACATGGGCAGCCAGGAGAAAGTATCTCTTAAAATTCACCTACTCTTAGATCATTCACAGAAAGAATCTGTCATTCTTATGTATGTTAAACAGATTTTTGAAAAAACAGAGTAAAAAATTATAGAACTAAAAATATGTAAAGGAAAAAAACGAGCCAGGTGTGGTAATACACACTTGCAATCCCAGCACTTAGAAGGCTGAGGCAGGAGGATTGTTGGAAGTTTGAGACCAGCTTGGGCTACAAAGTGAGCTCAAGGCCAGCATGAACTACACAGTGGGACCCTGTCAAAGAATGATAAAAAACAAAAATGAAAAAGACCCAACCAAACAGAAAAAAAAAAAAAAAAAGATCACAGAAAAAATTTTGAACACCAAGCCAAACTTCACAACGTTCCTATGAACTTTACTAACACAGGACAATAAACTTAACCTTCCGAGGTAATGTAAGAGGTTTTAGCATCTCCTCAGTTAGTGTCTGCCTTCTAAACTTAAGTTTGACATTCCACTCTGTTCTCCCAATTGTCACTGAATTACAAGGAGCTCAACTCAAATAATTTACTTAGGACAACAGTGAAAGATCCTCATCAACTTTTTAAAACACATCCCCCCAAAATCGATTTCACTAAACTATTATATTACTAAGTCATAAAGGGACTAGCAAAACTTTTAATCATTTAATCTAAGTCACTTAGATGTATGTACGATGTCTGCAGACATGCATTTGCTTTAGAGTTACTGATTTTGCTTTTTACAACAAACATACCACTCTTTAAAGCATTTATTTTCACTTCTTAAAAGTTATGACCAATCCTTCGACTCTGACAAACTACCATGTACACCAGAGCTCCTGAATAAAAAAGCTATTTCCTACTAAATAAAAGCTATTCAGGGGCTGGGGAGATGGCTCAGTAGAATAAGCGCTTCCCTGGCAAGTGCAAGGGCCTGAGTTCAGTCACCAGATCTGCAAATAAATAAATAAACCTATTTTTCTTTTTAAAGCTATTCAAATTCAGAAAACAAAACAAGAGAAAGGACAAACCTATGCTGCCTTCTTGGTTATCAGTTGTTTCTTCATCAGCTCCTTGAATTGCTTTTTGTTTTCCCCTTGTATACATATTAAGATTGGCCTAAGGTTCAAACAAAAGCCATTAACATTTAGCATGCATTCATCAAATAATTCAGTAAGACTCTCCAATCTTTCTTAAAATGAATATATTTATAGCTATGTACTCTTAAAACCATAGCAGTAATTAGTTGACTGATCAAATGCTGGACAAAGTAAGGAATCATTTAACAAAATAGATTATATACTAGAGGAAACAACAAGGAGAGGAAGTCATCCTCTTAAGGAAAGAAATGAATTACTTCTTCCGTTTCATTATACACTCTCAAGTCTTCAAGTTTTCTCAGTCGCTGTCTGCGCCTCTTCTTCATGTCATCCATTTTTTGAAGTACAGCTTCAGCGGTGCTTTAAAAATACCAAAAAAAGGCTGGTGAGATGGCTCAGTGGTCTAAAGCACCTACTTAGAACAAGCTAAGCCAAGCAAAGCACAGGGACTGCGGTTCAATCCCCCAGCACCACATGCCAGCCCGCCTGCCCTCTGGTGGGCTGAGCTGGCCATACACAAAAAT